AACTATAAATACATAGCCCTCATAAACCAAATTAAAATCGATTTCTAACATTCTAAGATAAATGAAGTGGATGAAGGTTTAAGCTAAAAGTTTACTGATTTCCAGTAAATTAAGTTTAAAATGTCTAAACTGAGAACAGAAAATAAAAATAATACCCGGCCTTACTGATTTCCAGTAAGTTAAGTTTAAAGTGTCTAAACTGAGAACAGAAAATAAAAGTAATACCCGGCCTTTATTTTTTCTCCGCAAGCTTTCGATTAGTAAAATCTATAAATCTCTAGCCCTCATTAAATCAATTAAAATCAATTTCTAACACTCTAAGAGAACTGAAGCGGATGAAGGTTTAAGGGAAATTTTATTGATTTCGAATAAACTAAGTTTAAAATTGTATATACTGTGCACAGAAACTGAAGATAATGCCTATCCTACATTTATTGTCCGCAAGCTTTCAATTAGGAAACTATAAAAATACAGACCTCATAAACCAAATTGAAAGCGATTTCTAACATTCTAAGATAAATAAGTGGATGAATGTTTAAGGGAAATTTTATTGATTTCCAGTAAGTTAAATTTAAAATGTATAAACTAAAAACAGAAAATAAAGATAATGGTTAGCCTTTATTTCTTGTCCGCAAGCTTTCAATTAGCTAAATCTATAAATCTCTAGCTCTCATTAACCGAAATAAAACCAATTTTTAACATTCTAGAAGAATTGAAGCGGATGAAGGTTTAAGAGAAATTTTATTGATTTCGAGTAAATTATGTGTAAATTTAATATACATTGAGTACAGAAAATAAAGATAATGCATAGCCTTTATTTCCTTTCCGCAATCTTTCAATTAGCGAAATCTACAAATCGCTAGCTCTCATTGACCAAAATAAAATCAATTTTTAACACTCTATGACAATTGAAGTGGATGAAGGTTTAAAGGAAATTTTATTGATTTCAAGTTTAAATCTAAAATGCATACATTAAGTACAGAAAATAAAGATATTGTCTAGCCATTGTTTCTCATCCGCAAGTCTTCAATTAGCGAAATTATAAAATCTCTAGCAGTAATTAACCAAATTAAAATTTATTTCTAACTAGAGAGGTGTCGGGTGTGGGTACCCGGTAAAAAATTCATATTTTATCAGACCGGTTCCAAGTACCCGGCAAAAGTTTTATTAGTCATCCTTCGTGTTCCGGATATCCAGTAAAACTTAAATATATTACCCTGCCCGGTATTATAACATTTTTGGTAAATAATATAAAAATCATATAATTTTCTGTCAAACAATTATTCTGATGATAATTAATAATTCTGATATTAATAATAACTCTGATTTATAATTCTGATAAATAATTCTAATAACAACAATTCTGATAATAATAATAATTCTGATAATAATAATTCTGATTTTAAAAGACATAGTCCTAAGGTAATTTATTTCATGGCTGTATAAATAAAAATATATTTTTATTCTTAAATTTTTTAAAACTAAGCTTTAAAAGTTTTATAAGTTTTCTTTTTTGAAAGTAAGCTTTTAAAAAAATTCTCTGCTTCTAAAAAATTTCACGATGGCTGTTAGGTTGTAGAATAATTAACTCAGAACTTTTCTTAATCTAGAGACATTAATAAATGTACTTTATAATTAATTACTTTTTTATTCAATGTACTTAAATTTTCAATAGCGTTTATTATTATATCTTTTGTTAAGCGTAGGATATTTTAAAAGCATTTTAACAAATTCTCGGTGAAATAAAACTAGAATTGAACACCAGGAAATATTAAATAAAATTATTAATTGAAACAGAAAATATTAAATGAAATTAACTATCCTGGTTGAATATTTAATTATCCCAGAACAATAAACATAATTTATGTGCAATAAGATTTACCTTAATATTATGCTAGCAAGAAATACTGTTACTACTAAAATTTAGTTTAAGGATATCGATGTCCAATTTTATTTACGCACGCATTCCTTTATTATAAACATAAATCAATCTGAAAATGAAATAAAATATTTTTAACTGGGTTTTTTGTTGAGTTATGTAAAAATAAAATTTTTTTTTTCATTTTTGAAATGAAAATGAAGTTTAAAAAAGTTGATTACTTTTCGTTGAAACAACTGGCTTAATCTTAACATATTATATTATTACTCCATACTTCATTGTTTATTTATAACTGAAAATTGTAAAAAAATATAGATGTCAAGTATTTCGTATGAAGTACTGATGAAAACTCTAGATTTAGGTTTTAACTAATAGGGGTATATTCATATTAACATATATTTTCTTTAACTTATTTATAGTTATACACTAATTTCGTATTGATAGAAAGGGATAAATAACTTATTGATATTGATAGTAATATATTAATATCGATGTTTTTCTGTGTTTTATTAGGATTCATTTGCCGTTTTTTGTAATGAAAAGTGTAACTACAGTTGGGAAAAATAATAGTAAAATAAAAAGCTTTTATTAAAAACACTGAGTTTAATTAATGATTCGGATAAGCTGGAATTCAAATATTAAATTATAATAAAAAGCTACGTAACAATTATATTCAGGGAAGAATACAAAATAAAAACTTAAATCTGAGAATCGAAACATTAATCTAAAAACATTAATCTTTGGTAAATATATCAGAGTCTACTAGAAAAATTGTGAATTAGAAAAACTATCAGAATGAGAAAAAATTAATAATTTTAGATATTTTGTTTACAAACATTGAATGGTTTTGTATGTAATACTTAGCACAAAAATGGAACAAATTTCCAATAGAATGATAAATGCAAACATTAGATTTCTTCGATTCTAAGATTACTTTATACTTAAACATATACTTTAAATATGTTCTAAAAGTTATATGTTGTTTTTAAAGGATGCTACATAGTATTTTGGAAGTTAAAATTTAATCAAAAATTTTAGTAGGAGAAAGTGTAATGTAAGATTTTAGTAAGATTATTTATAGAAAGATTATTTATAGAAAATACACCTACGGCTGGAAACTGTTAGGATATACTTCTTTTCCTATTAAAATGTATCTTAGATAAGAAAAAAAATGTGTTCTACATTCACAGCTGAGTTTAAAATGCTTCCGGAATATAAAACTTCGAGCGCTTTCGAAATGTCACAAGGCATGTTCTTTTACTTAGTTCTGTAATTGAGTTAACTTTTTTCTTCTTAACTTCTCTCCCTCTTGGTTTTGATCAAAAAAATTTTTTTGATCAATATTTGTTCAGTTCTGAACAGAAACAAACAAATAAGAAACAAATTTGGTTAAGTTTTTAATAGAATGTTTCTCGCTCAGAACACGGTTTTAAGTCCTTCTCAGAAATATAAAGAAAATGCATTAAGGAGAACACATCAACGTTTAAGTGTGTAAAATAATAATATATTGTAAAAATACGAAAACAGTATGCAAAATTTAACAAATAAATAAAGAAAGAAATGAATAAATGATCAAATCGATAAATAAACAAAAATTATATAATTATGAATTAAAAATAAATAATATATAATAAGCAATTAAGAAAAAAAAATAATAAAAAAAATAGATTGTGATATTTAGACTTGCATTGTCAGTTGTAATGGGTTGTAATTTTAAAACAAATACAAAATAGAGCCTTCCGCAATTCATAAAAAGATGTAATAAATTACACAAGCCTGCGAAATTGAACTTTTTGAAAAATGCAAGCTAAGTTATTATTGATTTATATGTTATTTGATGCGCTGATTTCGAAAATGACCTTCATTTTTACCAATCACATCAGAATTTTTTATGAAATCGATATTAATGTTTTTACTAAAATCCTATTTGGAAAGGCATTATCTCAAACAATTTTGCATGTACTATCCGGTAACTGTTCTCCTCATTCATTTCGATCTATGTAAAATTTAATCTTGGGAAAGAAAATTGATTTTTGAGCTATCAGCTAATTTTTATAGGTTAAAATGAATGAAAAATACTGTAATCAGACCGCAGAAGTCACCTCTGGTTGAGAGAAAAACAATAAGTTCCTTGTGTTCAAACTTTTTACATCAGCTTCTAGACTAGAAGAAAATCACCAACAAACCATTTTAATTTGTTTTTATTGAGATAACTTACGTAAAATTGACGATTAACCAAGAATAACAAATATTGTGTTTGTGTATATGAAAGTTTGAAACAAAACACAAAGCAAGCAAAAAACAAAAGAGAAAAGTTTCTCTGAAACTTATTTTTGATTATCTTCTTTTATGCTTAATCTCAGGTTTATCCCGAGCTATCATCCAACAGTAGTCAGCGAACATGTTCTTGTCCCATCTTCCTTGATATTTAAGCTCCATATCTCTGATGTCTTGATGGAACATTTCCCCTTGTTCTAGGTGACTGCTCCTAAATTTTCAGGGAAAAAATCCACATGTGAGTGAAGGAAATGCATTTTTACACTCATGGAGCAACCCAACGTTTTAAATTCGTCCAGCATTTTCATTACAATTTCCTTATAATAAGGATCCTCTTAATTACCCAGAAATTTACTGACGACATCTTTGAAAGCAACCCAAGCTTCTTTTTCTGTTTCTGTTAGTCTTAAATTCTTTATCCTTCATGAGTTTGCGGATATCAGGACCAACAAATATTCCTTCTTTCAACTTAGCTTGGGATAAACATGGAAACCTTTTGCACAGGTACTTGAAACAATTGCCATCTTTTGGAACAGCCTTGACAAACTGCTTACATGTAGCGGAGGTAACAATACTTTTTTCGGATCAATTAACCTGTTTCGAATAACGTTCTTGGTGCCTGGGTCAAGATTATGTCTTTTCGGCCATTCTTTTTTGACCCAATATGGGTCTTGTCACGGCTGTCCCACTCACAAATGAAACATGGATACTTTATAAATCCCCCTTGTTAACCAAGAAGCATGGAGATAACTTTCAAATCACCGCAAATGGTCCAACTGTGGTCGATATATTTTCTTTTGTTAAGGACGAGAGCCAGGTTTTCGTAGCATTCTTTTAAATATACTGAGTGTTCAACTGGTACTGATGCATACTGGCTCACATGATGAGGAATAACAGCTTTGAGGCTTCTTTTAGATGAATCTATAAACAGCCTCCACTCATCTTTATTGTAGATGACATTAAATTTGCTCATCAATCCAGGAGCATCAGAACAATAGATCAAGTTCTCCTCTTCATCAAAGTACTTGATAAATTCCTTTTCGCGATTCCTGTACCAATAAAAAGATGTTCCCTAAGCCAATAAGTTTTTTTCTTTCAGTCTAGAGTCTAACAATCCAACTGCCTCTTTCGAAAGGCCAAGATCTCTTGTCAGATCATTAAGCTCAACCTGAGAGGAGGGCTGAGGAAAACCGGCTGGACATGGTTTATATTCAATATCGGAGTCTTGAGCTTCTGGATGTTCCGAGTCTGAAGACTCTGAAGAGATGATTGGTAATTCAGTTGAAGGCACAGGCACATCAGGTTCATGAGGAACGGGGCGTATGGCCGATGGAATACTATCTGGATAAGATATTAGTCTTTGATTTTTCCGGTTATACCCACGAACATGGCAGGAACAAAAATAACAATCATCAAAGTGGTTTTGGGGCTCCCTTCACGTCATAGGAATTCCAAATCACAAAACAGTCTTCTTTCCTTGATGGCATAAGCGTATATCATTGAGACACTGCACACAAACTCTATGAGGTGCCCAAGACTTGTCCTGACCCAAGAGTTTCCTGTCAAAATATGCGAGATAAAATCGTCTTACACAGTCTGAATTGCTCCTCATGCGATTTTTAACAACACTATATTCGCCGCATGTATAACAAAAGTCACCTGGGAAATTTTCACAATGTCCTGAACTCAAAGCCATGTTTCACGAAACGCACAGAAAAAAGCAAACTTTAAAATGACTCCCTATTACGCTTGCTGGTGCTTCTGAGAGGTCAGCGAACCTAGATAAGGATTCTCGCTACGCTATTAGTACAGAGAGATTGTTACAGAGAGAGGGGCGGTGACAGGAAGTAGTGATAGAGGGGTACTTTTATAGATTTGACTAAAGTAGAATGCTTGTCAGTCAAGAAGGGAAGAAATTCGAAAACGAAATTTTTTTATGGTAAATGTTCGTAAAAATTTCAGTAAAATTCTAAAAAACGTGACGTGATGGACATGTTTCATTATTATTTTCCATTTCAGCACCAAAAAATACATTAAGTTCAGCTATCAGACCCCTTGTATTTTTTTCATCGCAGGCCTGTGTAATCATTTTCGAGAGGAGAAATATCCAAATCTATAACATTTACAATGGGATTTTTTTCCAATATTTCTTGCAAAAACTGCATCAAAGGTAGTTCCCCCTTCGGTTGTTGGATCATTCCTACCATTTATCATTTCCAATCCAAAATTGTCTTTATGGAAGGTTAATAATGTTTCAGCTTCAGGTAACGAGAAATCCACATTAAAATCTCCTGCAAGGATCACAGGCCGCTCGTTGCCATGGTAGCGTTAAACGTTTAACGCAACTTTGTTGGAAGTCGCATTAGAAGTTTCACTTCAAAAACAAACAAAAAAATACATATACATAAACACGAAAATCGTTATAACAAAGAATAAGTATAACAAAACAAATAAAAGAAATGGAATAATGAAGTCAGACTGGTCGAACAGCAGATGTACAGATTTTGAATGGTATAGCAGCAGCAGATTTAGACCTTTTTCAGACTGGTTAACCAGCAGCAGATATATGGATTTAGCTCCGCCAAATAGCAGTAGATGTGCAGATTCAGATTAGCCCATCAGAGAAATCGATGTATAGATATTCTGATTGGTCATTAGTCAGACAGTAAATAAAATCATATGTAAGCAGTTTTAGTTTTCGGCCCAATAAAGTAGATCAAAATTCTGTTGTGACTCATTTTTATCTTGATGTTATTTTTTATTCATTAACATTCAGGTATTCGATGCAAGTACCCAATTATAAATTAAAATGTTTAAGGTATGGAATCAAGCTTATGAAAAGCATATTACAATTATTTCAGAATTAAATAAAATGTCAGTTAATTACTGAGCAATTCTCAGTGTTTCAGATACAAACTTTGAATTCTATTCGTTCAGTCATTAAATGCTCTTAATGTAAACGAACAAAAACTTTAATAATAATAAGTGTCGAAAGTTAAAATGTTTAAGCAAGTTTGGAAGTAATTAACAATCAGGGGCCCCTCTAATAATTGTTGATTTGAATATAAAATATATATAATACTAAACCAGAATTAATCATATATCGGTAAACAAAACTTTGGTAACCCAAAGGTGATGTCATTAAAAATTGAAATAGAAACGTTTTAATTTTTAATATCTTTTAGCGAAAACAGTCACAGGTAATTGTTTTGTTTTTCATTGTATTTACTTTCTTTTTAAGAGCCACGAAACTTTGTAGCTGCGAAACGTGACCAACATTTTTGTATTCAATGAAGTTTCCAAAAATTCAGAAAATGAAATAAATGTTTTTAAGTTTAATTTTCAGGTAAATTTAATTTTCATGTATTTTACTCGTATTTTGCATTCGTTAAACATAATATTTCAGCACTATTGTCAAAAAGGAATTAAATGGTTAAATTTAATTTAAAAAAAAGATGTTTGTTTTTACCCTTATTTAACAATGATAAAAAAATCTAATATCATCTCGGAACTTACGTCGAAAAAACTAACTCAAATATTTTAAAAACTGTTTTTTTTTTCTTTTAGCATTTGGTTATCTGTTACGCTCTTTGTTGGTTGTTTGAAACTAAGTTTACCAACACAAAAGATGCTTTTAAGTCAAATGCAAACAGAATATTTTAACATATTGATTCTTAATATTCTTGACTCAAATATGCGCATCTAATGTTTTTGTTTTTCATTGTATAAACGTTTCTTTACAGGAACCATACAATTTTAAAACTGTTATATGATTTTATATTATTAAATTTTACAACGTTTCTAAAAATTCAGAAATTAAAATACACACAGAAGTCTTTAGGGGAAAATGAAATACAATTTTCATTTACTCTACCTACAAACACAGCATTTTAATCAAGTAGAAAAATATATATATTTCTCAAAAAATAATTATGCTATCAAAATTTTCACAAATATTTACGTAGGTTTATTCCCTTCGCTCCAAAGTACAATAAAGTATAATTTCAGCAAATTAATTAAATATGAAAAATCTAACAGAAGCTTTGTCGCGACTAAATTTTTCTTTGGTCATCAAAAATTAGTTATGATCCAGGAAAATAAATTTTCGCAATTTTTTTCTTCCGAATTTCGATTAGCATTTTTCGATTCAAACAACTGTGTATCACTTCGTAAAATTACACCTATCAAATTTGATTTTATAAACCGGTATATCTATACTAAGAAATAGAAGTTTTTAAAATTAAACTTTACGAATACACTTAGTTATAAATTAATCACAACATTTATTAACTGTTAATTTTAACTGTTTTACGATTTACATTTTAATTAAACGCGAACCAGAGTTTTGAATTTGAAGAAGGATTTGGAGAGAAACAAGCTCATTGTTTCATCGTTTTCTCGAGTGTAAAGGATAACTTCAAATTTATCTTCAATATCTTGCAGTTTAAACATATTTCTGGTTAAAAAGTTAAATTCGAAAAGATTTTTAGTTTATTTCATAACCATCGAACAGCCGACACAATTTTGGGTTTACGACTACTGATGATCATGTCCGTGGCCTTGTTATTTTGAGCCCAATCCAGAAGACACGGGAACTCCTGGATCAAGTATTGAGACAAATTTGCTTTCGTGGAAGACTTTCTGATGGAACTAACCCGAAATTGCATTACACGGAGAGGAAAGCTACGAAAACCTCCGATTTTTAGTCAGACGGCTAGGACGGCTAACCCATGATCCGCCTAACACACTGATGAAATTTCACGTCATCATTGGTGTGGTCTGTGCAACCAAAATTCTTATCAATCTGCCATTTCTGGGATTCGAACCCAGTACACATCATTAGAAGGCGAACTCTCTAACCACTGAGCCACCACAGTACAATATATATTTTATAACAGCTGACAGATTTAACATGCACCATTTGCTGCACGAAGGGGGGGGTGCGACCGGCTGGCGTCAAAGTCACGAATTCTTTGGACATGGGCCCAGTGCCCTACCAGCCAGGCTATCTCGGCAGCAATTCAAAATTATTTTATTTTATATCCGTCGTTGAACAGCCGACCCAAATGTTTGGTTTACGACTACTATTGTTCAATGTTCAACTCCATAGACTCATAAATTTGAACCAATCCAGAAGGCAATGAAACTCCTGGATCAGTACTCCCAGAGGTATGATTTGTTATAGGAGCATGAAGGACTTTGTGACTTGACAGATTTAACTTGCTTCAGACACCATTTACTACATGGGGAGGCTTTCGGCCGGCTGCGATCGAACCTACGACTTCTTGGACATGGGCCCAATTCCCCTACCAACCAGGCTCTCCCGGCCCCAATTCAAAAATAATGTAAAATTGTACCCCCAATATTTAGTCACAGTGAACTCATATATCATGATTTCATATTTTCTTAAAATTTTTAGTCGTTTTCGCTCCTTTTTTGTTTAAGAAAATAATTTATAGATGATATAGAATTTCTTTACAGGGTTTATTTCACTGAATACGTGAAGGTTTTAATATATTCCATATTTGTGTACATTTGAATGACTGTGTCTAATTCATTTTTCATAACTCTAAGGGTTTATTTGATCTCTATAGAGTTTTTCCAAATAAAATCTCTTTTTTTTTAAAAGAAGAAAAAAAAAATACATGTTGTTCAAAAAATACATGACCTGTTCCAAGTAATAAGTATCAGTATTAAAACCTACTCTCTTAAAACAGAAAATAACACACACAATTTTCTAACTGCAATCGCCTGTTAACTCAAATATTTTTATTTATGCCAAACTTTTTCTTTAAGCGAGTTTTTCTATTAATTTTTTACTAGAATACTTTACTTTTAATAAGCCTATTAAATTAAAACTTGGTATTTAATTTGAGAACGAAACGGTGCTTGAAGTTATACTAGCACTTGAATATTGGTAAATATTTTATATTATTTAAGACAAATTAATTTGCTATGGCTCTAAATAATTGCTGCAAAACTATTTGCTTGTTTGAGCTTGCATAATTTTATATAGGGCATATTAACTGTTCATTAAAAGTTGTTTCAAGTCAAGACATGATTTCAATGACTACTATCGTGCGTGCCATACGTCATAGTATTGTTTTCTTTAAATTTTAACTCGAAATAAAAATAAATTATATTTCTTTTTAACTGTTTGACAAAAAATGTTTACATTTAAATAATTATCTGTGCTCGTGTTGAACTTCTTTAAAGTAAATTCAGAATCCTTATTGGTGGTTTATAACTGTTCCAACATTTGATTTCTAAGAAACTATATGATGTAAATTTCTTATGGTTCAACATGAACAAACCATTAAAACAAGTTGATGTTATGTTGGACCATCATAAATCAGTCCGAAATCCTATAATGGGAAGATGGTAACTTATCTTGATAATCTATCTTGGTAACTTATCATCAAGAAATATAATAGTTCATGATGGAATTATTGATGGTCAAAATCAAGATTATGTTGGTCCATCAATGGAAAACCATCAAACTTTTTGACCTGGGTTATGACATCAGGATGGGTTGTTCTAGATTCTTTTTATCGAACTCTAAATTCATTTGCATTGTGCAACAGAGTGTTAGCATGGTAGTGCTAGCCTGTTAATGGACTTCCATCTAATAGAACTCGTGCTTGTTTTCTGATGACTTTATAGTCAATCGTATTCATAGATAGTTGCATTCAGCCT